TCTCCATTTCCCCACGCCTTTCCCCCCGATCCCCCGCTTCTTCCCCCTGCCAAGTAAAAGCTTATTCGTGCTAACAGTTTCTCTGAATGTATCTGACCCTAACTGCAACCAAATTCAGTCAAAAGCATCTTGGTGTGATTGTGACCCATAGAAGATCACGGTATGTGGGTGACCCATAGAAGATTGACGAATTGTCCCAACTAGGAAAAAACTTATTCGTGCTTACAGTTTCTGTGAATGTATTTGACCCTAATAATAATCCTAATTACAACCCAATTCTGGCAAAAGCATCCTGGTGGGACTGTGACCTAAGAAGATCACAGTATGGGTGACCCACAGAAGATTGACGAATGGCCCCAATTAGGAAAATAAAAAATATAAATTTTTGAAGTACAACCATCTAGTCCGTTGGTAGACAACACAAGGCATCTTTTTCTTGCTTCTTCTTTTGTCTTTTTTTTCAGAAGCTGGAAAAAAGCTCTCCTGTCATGAGAAATCTGCAATGGGCAGGGCTTTTTGTATCAGGGAGGAAGGGCGAGGGGGGGGGGGGGGGGAACAGGGCTGAATATCTGCGTTCCTGTAATTCTTCCTTCGAAATCATGTGTGTCTGGGACCTGGCCTTTACAACAACCTGGGCTGAAAAAAAAGAAAAAAAAGAAAAGAAAGAAGGCTGACAAAGATCAACGGTGAAAAATAAGGAATCTGGATAAGTGGGATCTGTTGCGCTGAGGTGGGGAAGAGAAAAGCAGTCAGGTGGAAAAAAAGCAGCGTTTCCCCTAGATTCTTCAACTACTACCATTATTCTCTCCTCTCCTCAAGATTAACCTATCCGTCTGACTCCATCAAGATTTGAACTAGAGACGTGTTTGCTAACGTCATGTTTCTGGTTGTGCTCGGTGTTATGAATTAAAAAAAAAGAAAAAAGAAAAAGTTTGACCGTTCAGCCGCATGAGCGGAGTCCAGTTCTTGCTTTGTTATTGTGGAGATATTGGAAATAGTGAGGCTCGTCGCAAGTTACTATTTGCATACAACTTGCACACAAAGAGAGAGAGAGAGAGAGAGAGAGAGAGAGAGAGAGAGAGAGAGAGAGAGAGAGAGAGAGAGAGAGAGAGAGAGAGAGAGAGAGAGAGAGAGAGACGCTAAAGATTACATTTCAGTGACGATTGCCTTGCACTGAAGATTTTTTTTATTTTTTTATTTTTTTTCCCCTGCTTGTTTTAAACAGGCCTACGCTGCCGGCCCCAGTCCAGTGAAGATTCCATTGCATTATTACTGAAGATTGTACTTCCTTTCAATTTCCTCTTTCTAGTAGAAACGTTTTTTATCTGTAATTTATTTTCTTCTTCCTCACGCGGGACTGTCTGTTTGTCCTGTTGTGGCATTCTCGGCTCTGGCGGACGACGGATGTGTCCATGTCATTGGTTGGGGATTAGGTAGAGGAATGAAAGTCCCTTGTTCTTCCTACATGATGCCGTCGTTCGCACGTAAGGGTTTGGGTTTGGGTTTGGGCTTGTCCTGCACGAGGGAGGTGTTAGGGATATCTAGAAATTGCTGCTGCAGTGGTCCTTCATGCAAAGCGCTCAGTCGGTGGAAAGAGAGACCTCCTTGCCTGCTGCTATCGCATAAATTCTTCGGTTGCAATGAACAAACGCATGTTTCTGGAATTGTTCATAGACACGAGGATGTAAGCAAGGGCAGCCTGGGGCTGGGGTTCCCTGCTGCAGCTGCTGAACACAGCTGCTGCAGATGGAATGCAGGCTGTGCACAGGGCGTCAGCAGCAGCTCCGCGTCGCCGTCGCCGAGGTCAACGTTGTCTTCGGTAGCATTAGCTGGTTGTGGTGGGGACCACAGTCTTACTACGGCATCGAGATTGCTGTCAATCTTCTCGTCATCGTTATTGTTTGTCTCACCTCCACGTGCAGACAATAGAGCTCGTAGTCGTACATCAGATTCTGCATCTTATCCATTTTATGCGCCTTATTCATCCAATCCATCTTGTCCATTGCTAGCACGATATTCTTGCTTCCCTGCGTCCCCACGCGTGCTAGTTTCTATGTTTTGCAGCACTTATGCTTCCGTGCCTGAGTCAGCTGCATCTGGAAGAGCGGTTGCTGAGCCCAAGAGGGTCCCTCCTAAGCAGAATGCGGAGGGCGAGAAGAGACTGGATGGGGAGTTGGGAGGTGGATTGGAGGAAGAGGAGGAGGAGGAGGTTAGGAAGGCTGGCTGGGTGTTAAAAGCGGTGGGAACGGTGCTGCTAACCTATGTAGGTGTCAATGTTGTTCCTCATATGGGAGATAGCATGGTGAGGCAATCGATAGCCCTTTTGAAAACCAAAGACCCAATCTTTCAAAAAAGTGGGGCTGCTAGACTAACTCATATAGCAAGCAATGAGAACAGTCGAAGGAAGATCGTCGATTCCGGCGGTGTGGACGGTCTGATGAGACTTCTTGACTCTTCAGACGATGAGGGGACGATAAAGGAAGTCGTTGGGACTCTAGGGAAGCTTGCACTCAGCGATTACGCTGTAGAAGCGATGCATGCGGCAGGGCTTGGGCGACGGCTCGATGCGATGACCAAGTCCTCTGCCCCCCACGATGCTTCCTCCTCAGACATGCAGAAAGATGTGCTGTTCCTGAGGACAAGGATGGATGAAGTCAAGTCCCGACCGTCCAAAACTAATGAAGCGTCAAAGAAAAAACAGTCTGCAGAAGGGCGTTCATCCCTCGCCACCACAGAGGAGGGCAACGATCGGATCGGAGTCACTCGGGCATCAAAAACTGCACTCTAAAACTGTCATTGTATGTCTGCTAAGTCTTCTTCGGCATGCAGCCCTTCCTTCTCTGTTTGATCCATGGGATTTTGACGATCCAGTGACCACAGGCTTTTTTCGTTGTGTCTGTGTCTGTCGGGGTTGGCCCAATTTTCCAGGAGGTAGTGATGGTTTAATTGTAGGATATGTTAGATTCCTGCTTCTCTCACTCAACAATGTCAACATCGCTCTCTGTCCATCTCTCTCTCTCTCTCTCTCTCTCTCTCTCTCTCTCTCTCGCTCTCGCTCTTTTCTGCCTTTGCCTCTCTTCCTTCTATCTCTGCCTGCCTTCCTTCTATCTCTGCCTCTCTTCCCTCTGTCTCTGCCTCTCTTCCCTCTGTCTGTGCCTCTCTTCCCTCTGTCTGTGCCTCTCTCCACTCTCTGTGCCTCTCTTCCCTCTGCCCCTTCCCGTTTGCCTGTTGTCGCAGACCAGTGGGAGGTAGTTGCTGTGGGGTCGGTCTGTCCCGACATGTCCGTTGAGTCTGTTGTGGCTTTGTGCTGAATATTATCAGCTGGGGCAAGTATTTGGGATCACCCCTCTGTCATTTGTGGAGGGTTGATAATCGTATCCGAAGACTGTTATGCCCAAGTATCACGGGGTCGAAGGCAATGCAGTCTGTGCGAATGTGTTTTTTGTCTTTCTTGTCTGTGGCTTGTCCGTCTGTCAGTGTGTGCCTTGCTGTTAACCCACCAGTACTATGGAAGGCCCCCTTCTTTCCTGCCCTGGCTGGCGGTACTGGTGGTTTGAAGAAG